CCCCTTGCACTACTTAACTCAAAACAGAATGGTGGAATTCCAGATGTATTTTTCTAAGGACATATGTAGTATAAGATATTGGGCTTATATTGAAAACTTTAGAAATTGACCATGTTGCTATAATGGATTCCCATCAATTTCTTCTTTGTTTTAGAAAAGATTAGTTTACTGCAGATCATTAAGGACACCGTTAATTATTGACCAATTGATGTAAACTTTTTGTAAATAATCATGGCCTTCCATACATTGTCCATGGTGAAATCTATGTCTTTCACAATAATTCTTCCTATTTAAACAAAATAAGCATGGTATTGTCTTATTCTGCTCTTCTTCTTCTTAAGAAGAGCATAAAATTATGATTTATGAGTTTTAGTTTACTCAGTAGATTGACATTACAATACAAATTGTTCATGTGCCAGTAAATCACCCAAGAAAATTACTACCAGAGCATGTTAAACACAGCTGTCAGAAATGCAATTAAGACATTTTTAAGACATTTTTAATTGGTTCATATTCTTTAAATACTGCAAAATGAAATGTTCTGATTCAACATTAAAACAACAGATTTACCATATCTTAATATATTGGTTTTCCCCTGCTTCATTAAAAATTCCCACAAACTTACTTAAAACAGCATTTGTTATCTCAGAGTTTTCAGGTGTCAGGGGTCCAGGAACTGCTCAGCTGGGTCCTCTGCTCAGGGTCTCACTGTGGGTTATGATCAAGGTATCTGGCCAGTTTGGGTTCTTATTTGGGAACCCAACTTGGGAAAATCTGCTTCCAAGACTATTCATGTTATTGGCGGTATTTGTTTCCTTGTGGCTATATACCTGGAGGTCCTCCCTTTTAGCTGTGGGTTAGCAGGAGGGCACACCTTCAGGTTTAGAGGCAGGACCTCAGGGCCAACAGCAGCTCCTCGTGCCTGTCCTCAAGGCCTCGTCGTGGGCTACCTCCAAGTGGCGGCTCAGTCCATCAGGTCAGGAAGGAGGGTCTCCCGAGTGCTTCCTAGCACGATGCATGCATTACAGCCACGGGCTTGATGTTTGGCATTTGTGACATCCATCAGCTTCATCAGATTCTATAGGTTAGATGAGGACCCTGGTCATGCTGTCTCTAGGGGAGAGGATTACACAGAGGCATGAATACCGAGAGGTGGGAAATCACTGTGGGATGATCTTAGCGTCTGTTGGCCATGTACATTAAGTAAATTTAGTAAAACATGTCCCTCCTATGAACTAGTTACAACTTCATGTGGGAGATTTTAATGATATTTTGCATTTGGAAATTCTGGTGAGTGCCATACGGTGGCAGAGGTTATGCTATGCTTCATAGTATGCAGAGCATCATATTGTTAAGATGAAAACACTGGAGTCTTGGTGGTGTTTTCTGTGCATTTTGTGTGACTTAAAAAGAATGAATTCTAACACTTGATGGCAGTAGTAATGCATTCAAAGTTCAGTCAGCCAGAGTCCATATACAAAACAAACTGGGAAATCAGATACTTTTGTTTTATATTTTTATCATGAATACCATATTTAAACTATTCCAGGTTGCAATACAAATTACCCTTTATTCTAGTGAAGTGAGGTTGGGTATATTTATAAGATTACAGCATTTTTTCATTTGACTTTTAGAAAGCAAACCTCAGCTGATTAAACTTGTAAATAAAATTCTTCATAGAGAAGTTGGATATAACTGATATATTTGGCCAGGTTAAAATTCAACAAATACGCTTTTAGATCCATTTTTGTAACCATTTAAAGGTTATAGTATATAAATAAATAGACACATTTTACACACTCTCAAAAATTTGCCTTTCCCCTCTGAAGATAGTCATTTACAGTTAATTTAAAACCAAAAAGGTAGGCGCCATCTGTTGGTCACAAAGGCTGAGAACAAAGTATTAAGGCTGCAGTTTACCAAGTGAGATAAAGGGATGACAAATAACCTTTGCTTTCTCTTGATACTTTAAGAAGTTGTGGGGTTAGCTGGAAAATTGGTGAGCTTCTGTTGTGCTTTAGGGAATAATAACGCTGTCTATAATTTTCCATTTACAAATCCTCATATTCAATTCAATCACTTAAGCAAATTATAAAGAGAAAGCTAAATTTCTAATGGGATAACCTCAAAGACAATGTTTCTACAGATTTACAGAGAAGTAAGGATGTGAATTTTGCACTCAGAATAGTATTTCGTGTAGGTATTATATGCTATCACCCTTTGAAAATATTATTAATCCTATAATAACAGGATTTCCAGAGGATTAACACAACATATTGTCATGACATATAAAAAATGTCTACTCTGTAATGATTAATTAGAAATTGTTATCATGGAAATGTTAACTTATAAAGTTTTAAAGTACACTCTATTATGGGGCACTAGAATGCAGTGTTCTTCCTTCCTTAGAAAATAGCCTGTAATATTCAGAGAAAAATAAACACCTATAGCTATTGAATAGAGAAAAAATGTTTATTGAAAAAATACTGCATTGAATCAGGAGTCAGCTGTAGATTTAGAGCTTTCAATTAAGAATGTGAGGTGTTCAAAATGTCCATCAAAATACACTGTATTCAAAATAATGCTGAAATTTTATCGTCACATTTTTCAGAGTTATAGTAAGCACTTTGTCTTAGTTCATGGTGAATTAAATCTGCAAAGTAGCTTGGCGAGTAGGTGATCACAATGCCTGTGAGAATGTCAGTTGGCTTTTCTTATCTCAGTATTTTATTTCATTGTATTTTTTGTTACAGCTCCTCCCACACCCAATTTTTGTAATAATGGCGCATTAAAAAGGCTGTGAGGACAGAGAGGTATTCTAGGCCATTTGTGCAGGATCTGGGATCAGTAAGTGTTTGTGTGGGTAGAGCTCCATTATGACTTTTTCAAGGGTTCCTTCCTCCATAAAAAATAATTATATTTTGATTGACTTGTTGCTATAAAGATTAATATAATCCAGGTTATATTCATTACTTCATATTTATCATTATTATCATTTTTTATGTTAAAAAGTTAAGGTATTTTCATAATTCCCTATGAGATAGTAAATGGGTGTTTTTTAAGCTGCTCAGGTTTTGTGGCAAATTTTAAAGGCAATAACAGTTACAAATTCTGCATTGAATTCTAATTTTAGTCTGATGTATTAATGGTATTTATGAGGGAGTGTATCTAAAATAATGGATTTGTGAGAGATCCATGTAAAACGTCAAAACAAAAACTCTTGCAATCAATTTCTAAATATACTTGTAGTGCTTGATGGTTTGACGTTATTTTATTTTTAAACTTTTCAATTTCAGGATATACAAATTTTGATGACATGCGTAGTTTTCCCCTATAGGTCTCAAACAGGCTAATATACTTCCATTATTAAAGACATTGGTATTTATATACTTTCAATTGAAACAAGGAAATGCTTATACATCTAAAGTGGAGAAACATGAAAGCAATTCTCTTCAATCGTTACACTTCAGAAATCCTGGATTTAGCTATAATGTCTACAAATAATGGTATATAGTAAATGATTGAAGCAATGAGAAAAAATTCAGACAATTTACATGAAAAAATATATTTTCCTGAAAGAGATAGTTGAAAATAAAAATATACATAGTTTTTAAATGTTGGAAGTGTGCTATTGCCAATTTTTGTCCTATGTTTTTACTTTAAGACATTAATTCAGAAATAGATTATGCAATTATGAAAAAGTTTGATAATAAACCATCTTCATGAGCTTTTAGAGAATCAGGCACTCTCCTACTCTATTGGTGAAAGCATAAATGGGTATAACATCTTTGAAGACCAACTTAGTAACATTTATTAAAATTTAAAATAATATACTTTTTGATCCAGAATTCCACTTCTACTAATTTTTCCATTGGTATATTCTCACATGTGGACAGAGTTACTATATTCACACAAGGATATTATTTGTGATTTTAGTGTAAATACAAAAAATAAAATGGACATCCATATAATGGGCTAATATATGGTCTTTGGAATAAGTAGAGCTGTATGTGCTGATAGGAAAAACTTGTCAAGATATATTTTTGAGTGAAACAAGCAAGATTCTGAATAGCATTTGTACCTAAAAATTCAAGTTCGTATGTATAGATACATACAGAATGATGATGTATATAAATGTGGCACATGAATATATATATATATATTTGTGTATAAAAGGGAAATTAGGTGCAAGTTTTTGTTTCTCATGGAAACCTTTATTAAGGTATGCAAGAAATCATGGACAAGTTATTTCTGGGAGTGGAGTTTAGGGTTTGCAACTAGAAGGAAACTCACCTTCCACTGTTTCTTTGTCATCTTTCAGTTAACCATGTGCCTGTATGATGATCATACATTTCAGAAAGATTAACTTTCCTTTAAAGGTCAGCCATGACTTCTTCTCTAGTGTGTTTATCATTCATCATCTATATTGTTCATTTGCCATATTTTATTTTTTTTCACAGGCACAGAAATATGGCAATAACTAGCTAGTTAAGCTAAGGTCTAAAATTATTTGACAGGTCTTTAATATGATAAAATATTATTCAAAAACTGAAGCTATGTGTTTTACTGTTGGATATTTTTATTGGCATGTGATGATAATGAATCTGTTCCCACAAGGCCATTATAATTTTCAAATATTTTTATTCTTTTCTTCATCTTCTCTAGTGAATTTGAAAACAGAAACATGTCAGAGTGAAAAAAAAAGAATTGAAAGTTTAATTAAAAATATCTACTTCTTGGCAATATACCTAAAGTGTTCATTTGTAAATTTTCTTTATTATATATTTAATTTGAAATTATATAGGATATAAAACTTGCAAGTTACATGTGATTTATAAGAATACCTGTGAGATATTTTCCATCACTTTGTTCTGCTCTTTCTGTGCTGTTTGGTTTATTCCTGACTCGTGTGTTGTTTCCTTAAATTACAAAATTGTCACTGTATCTTACATCTTTTAGTTGTATGTTTTATGTAATTATGCAATTTTTCAGAACACATCATGCTGAATTTTGTTTTTGAAGAGAGCAGTAAGAATTGTTTGGTTATAGAAGGCATTATAATGCTAAGTATTATCTGAAATTAGACAAGACTCCCAACAGGCAAACGAGGAAGGCACATATATGCTTGAGGAGTTTTGCTGAGATTGATAGGGTTTCCATCCAGTCGAATGTCTTCTAGTGCCTTGCGAATATAAGTCAAATTTTTAACATTGCAGAAGGTATCTTCATGCATTTCTAGAATGTTGTTATTCTGAAAGAGATGAAAATAAATCAGAAAAAATATAACATGTACTTAGTATTATAAAATAGGTCAATTTTGCTTCCCCCTATTTTTAATCTTTTGTTTCCCCCTTCATCCAAAAATGCATGTTATATGACTGTTATACATCAAACACTTTCTGGGCAGTGGGGATAAATCAAAGAACAAAACAGACATGTACTTACCCTCTGGAGCTGGCACTTCAGTAATGGAAATACAAGAAAAGGAGGTGAAAAAACAAACTTAAAGGAAAATAATTTCCAAAAGCGATGAGTACTGTGAAGGATGGTAACTGTGAAAAGTTATCTTAAGAGAGAGCAATGGAGCTGAGGAAGGAATAACAAAAATGGAATGACATGGGTGTTGAAAAAGCCAACGTAAGAATATCCCAGGCAGAGAGAATGCCAAGTTCAATTCTGAGTAATCAGCATGGTATGTTCAAGAAGGGCAAAAATGTCAACATGGCAGAAGTGAAGTGAGGGAGAGAGTGAACAAATATCAGAAAGATAAGCAGGGCCCAGAACTAGATATTTTTAAATAGTCTAATTGAATATATTTCAGATGCCATAAAATTCATCCATTTTAAATATACAGTTTAGTAGTTTTTATTATATTCACAGAGTTGTGCAACCATTACCACAATTTAATTTTAGAACATTTTAAACATCAGCCCCAAAGCTCCATAGATATTAACAATAATCCCTTGTTTTCCTCTATCATTAGCTCCTGGAAACTTCTAATCTACTTTCTGTATCTATGGATTTTCCTGTTCTGGACATTTTAATATAAATGGAATCCTACATCATCTTTTGTGACTGGGTGCTTCCATTTAGAATTGTATTATCAAGGTTCATACATGTTGAAGCATACATATATCAGTACTTCTTTCTTTTTATTCCTAATAATATTCCATTGTATGGATGTACCACATCTTTGTTTATCCACTCATCAATTAGTGGGTTGTTTCCACTTCATGGCTCTTATGAATAATGCTTCTATGAACATTTGTGTACAAGTTTTGTATGGACGTGTTTTCAATATATACCTGGGAGTTGAATTGCTGGGTCATGTAGTAACTCTATGTTTAACATTCTGAGGAACTGTCAAACTGTTTTCTGAAGTAGCTGCATCATTTTATACTCCTACTAGTAATGCCTAAGTGTTCCAATTTTCTCTGCATCCTAGTCAACATATCTAATTGTCTGTCTTTTTTTTTTTTAATTTTAGACAACCAACTTATATGAAGTGTTAGCTCATCATGGTTTAGTTCACTATTAGTGTATACAGTACAACTGATATTATATACGGATTTTGTAAGCTGCCACATTTCTGAACTCATTTAATAGCATAAATAGTTTAGGGGATCACTTATTACTTTCAATATAAAATTCAATATAAAATGTCAATTTGGGGAGAATTTCCATCTTAAGTCTTCCAAACCATGTATATGGGATTACCTTTCCTTTATTTTAGATTTCTCTTCCCAGCTTTACTGAGGTATAATTGACAAATAAAATTGTATATATTTAAGGTATACAGTGTAATGTTTTTATATACGTATGCATTCTGAAACGCTTACCACAATGAAGTTAATTAATATTTCCAGGTAACCTCACATAGTTACCTTTGTGTGTGTTTCTTGTGAGAACACCTAAGATCTGCTCTCAGCAAATTTGAAGTACACAGTATTGTATTATTAACTGTAGTCATCATGCTCTACATTATATCTCCCAAACTGATTCATCCTGAATAACTAAAACTCTACATTATTTGATCAGCATCTTCCCAGATCCCTCACTCCTTAGCTCCCAGCAACCACTATTCTCCTCTTTGCTTCTGTGAGTTGAACTTTTTCAGATTCACTTAGCATAATGCTCTCCAGTTTCATTTATGTTGTTGCAAGTGGGAGATTTTCTTCTAAAGGCTGACTAACATTCCGTTGTATACATATACCACAATTTCTTTATCAGTTCATCTATTGATAGACACATAGGTTTCTTCCATATTTTGACTATTGTGAATAATGCTTCAGTGAACATGGGAGTGTAGATATTTCTTCAAGATACTGATTTCCATTTCCTTGGATGTAAATCCAGAAGTGAAATCATTGGATCATTTAATAGTTCTGTATTTAATTTTTTGAAAGACCTCCATACTGTTTCCCATAATGACTGCACCACTTTCATTACCACCCACAGTGAACAAAGGTTCTCTTTATTCTACATCTTTGCCAACACTTGTTATCTTTGGTCTTTTTGATAATAGCCATTTAATGAGGTGACATCTCACTGTGGCTTTGATTTGCATTTCCCTGGTGATTAGTGAAGGTGAGCATCTTTTCATATAGCTATTGGCCATCTCTCTGTCTTCTCTTGTGAAAATGTCTATTCAGGTACTTTGCCAAATTTTAATCAGGTTATTTGGGTTTTTTTTTTGTCCTATTGAGTTGTTTGACTTCTGTATATGTTTGGATGCTGACTCCTTCTCAAATGTATGGTTTGCAAATATTTTCTCCCATTCCATAGTTACCTCTTCTCTCTTGATTGTTTCCTTTGCTGTGCAGAAGTCTTTCAACAGTATGTCGTAGCTTTCAGTACACAAATCTTGTATTTCTTTTGTTAAAATTATCTTGACAGTTTATACTTCACACTTTCTGATGCATATTGTTTACAATCATTACATAAGGATTGTATAACTATGTAGCATTGATTAATAATGATAGATAATGATTATATGATTGTTGTTAGGTACATATATGTTTATACTTACATATTTCTGATGGATTGACCCTGTTATCATTACAAAGTATTAGGAAAACAGATTTAATGCTGATGTACTGTACTATTGCCTTTGGTAGGTAATAGATACATTTAAAAAATAATAATTGCACCTCACATTTAAGTACTTACCATGTTCCAGTAACTGTACTAGTCACTTTATAAACAAGAACTGAGATGCAGAGAAGTTCAGATGTTCGTCCAATGTATAGATAGTGTTGGAAGCAGAATTTCAGCGCAGGGAATCTACTTTTGCCAGAGCCTTTATTCTTAATTACTATAATGTTTGCAAGCATTTTTTCAAAAGAATCAAAAATGGTGTTTTTATGTAATCATTAAAAGTACATATAAATTGAAAACAATGTCAATTATTTATACTGGATATCAGTGAGGTGGTCATAAAAATGACATATTTTAAAAGGTGCACTTAATGCCTTTTAAAATGTTAGAATAGGAAATGTAAATCCAGTTACTTAAAAGAAAATCTCATTGTATATTGTGTTTAAATATAAAATCAGAGACCTAGTTACATTATAAGGTGAGTATCATCACAAACAATAGGAATAAAATTTAATTCAGAATTGGAAAACACATTCCAAAATTTCTTGGAAGATTCCCTTGAAAATCCTTTCAGACATAAAACAAGGCAAGAAATTCTCATACATCTAGAAATTCACACACACACACACACACACACACACACTCCTGGCAAAACAGGAGAGGCAGAGAGCCGTCCAGAAACAAGATGATAACCAAAAAGGACATACACATCATCAAGGAAGCAAAAATAGAAGAAATTTCAAAAGAGACAGGACTCCAAGATTCATAAGCAGATAAACACAAAGACACCAAAAAAGTATGGAAAGATATATATTAACAGGAAGAAAAGACACAGACATAAATATTTACAGAATCCACAGGTAAAACATGGGAATCAGAGATCTGCTCTGATAGCAAAGCCACTTCTCGTAAAGATTTGTACTTTTTCTGCTCAAAAATTGTAATATTACACTATCACATTGAGCATACAATGGTATGTTCTCTACAGATTTATTCTACTGAACAGATGAAATTATTAGAGGAAGTTGATTATAGCTGCAGACCAAAGTTATTCACATCTGAAATAAGAAACTATTTATCTTTCTTGGTTTTAACAACAAAAAAAATGTTTGTGTTAATTGAACATATTTTAATATGTTTAATGAAATATTTTTAGAAAATATGACACTAACATTTTAAAAAATGTGCTTTTCAGTCATTACTTCAGAGATAAAATATGCCTTAATGGGATTTAAAATAACACAAATTTTCAAATCTGTTTGTTTAGGGAAAAACTGTATTTTCTTAATCCATAAAGATATAAGCCTGTCATCTCTCGGTGGATAGGAATGCCCTAGGATTGAATTGAATTCAATACATCAAACCTAAAATAAAAACAAAGGTTGTCATTTTTCCCCCCAAAGGCTAGAAATGAAATGAGATTTTTCTCTCTCCCTTTTTCTCTTCCATTTTTAATTTTTACACATTTTGTCAGGCACGGAAGCTTTCAGATTTTTTTTTTCAAAGGAAGTTTTTTGTGTCAAAAAGATGCATTATGATTTGAAAATGAAGTTGAAAGTTTTCGGAAATCAATCCGTATAGACAAAGTCAGGAATGTGCAAATACTTTGAACTCAAGATTGAGAGAGAGAATGAATGAGAGAGGGGAGAAAAATTGTCACAGTGTGTCAAAGTGCCATTATCAACAGCTCCCTGTGTCCTGATTCCTCCTCTGTGCTTCTGTTTTCCATGGAGCAGTTGGGCATACCTCACCAGAAGCCTACCTGGAGGTGGAGGGCTCGTAGGTTTTCAGGGAGTGGCAGAGGGATGTGGTCCAAGTTGTTATCAGTGAGGTAGAGATGACGGAGGTCATACATATCCTGTAAACATACCAAATGTAGAGACTTAATAGAAATTAGTGGGGCCACAGTTTTATTTACCATTCCCTGTCTATGCAGCTATTTGTAGAATAATCATGTCAGTTCAGGTCTTGTTTTGTAAAGTTGAAACAGATTAGTCTTCACATTACTAGACAATTCAAGTGAGTTTTGGAAGAATTGACTGTAAGCAAATATTTCTTGATGAAAATGAAAAGTGTTTCTCAATCTCTGGGATGAATCTTGCTTTTTCCACTCTCACTTTCTCAATTCAAGAAAGGCAGCTACTTCCCATGGAAGATAAGAGAACAAAAGTCCGTTCTCTATAGCTCAGGGACCAGGAAAAGGGCAGTCTAGCAAGACAGTAAACATTTAGATAACATTTGCACTTTAGACAAAACACCACCGAACAAACTGTGACTCATCATCACCCACGCCAACCTATAGCTGAGAGTGGAGCCTGAACTTTGACCCTCGCCAGGCTATCATTAGGTGCACAAGTGCTCTTGCCTACCAGGGTGGGATGCATGAGGGCTAGTGGAGAGACAAGATTTTCACCATTGCTCAGGGCTAATGGGTCCACACGTCCTGCTGTGGTTTCCCTGGGAGTAACATGGTGTCCCCTCAAACAGTGTTTCAAGTTTATTTGTTCAAATATCTTTAGAGGAGCACTTTAAATGGAGTAAGAGTGGGTAAGAAAGCCATTTGGTCACTGTTCTCATAATGCAAAACACTCCATGCTGTTATTCTAAGCAAGTCAGCCTAGCCCCAAACTTGCTTCCTTCACTTAGAAACAAAATTCCTAAGATTAACTGAATCCAACCTCTTTACAAGGTATTTAGAAGCCTTCTACCCTCAAGGCACCACCCACACCCTGCACAAGTAGCTGCCCTTTTAACCACAAAAAAATATTCGCCTTCGGTGGTGTTTTTGGGAAATACAAATTCTCTGGCTTACACCATTTCCAGATGCTCTTTAAAGATTAGTAGTCCTGGTAGCCACCCCACTTCTTATTCCAGCTCTGTTTTCTGGTGCTTGACCAGCCTCAGAATTTACCAGAACACAGTATTTCCCAAAAGCTTGATAATTATAGTGTTGTAAAGTTTATTTTAGGAGTCAAAAGTCTCATCAAATCAAATCCCTTTATGGAAATGAAAAGGTCAGTCATTGACAGCAGCTGGAAGGAGAAGATGAGAGTCTTTCATTTCCAAATTTAAAACTCACTTTAAATGCTTCTTGCTTTATTCCTTTCCTTCCAAGTCTATTGTTGCTGATATCAATAAATGTCAGAGTGGTGGGCAGTTCTGGAAGTTGCCTTATTTTGTTGTCACGCAGGACAAGCTCTTGGAGTTGAGGAAGCTTTCTGAACGCATCTTCATCAATCTCAGATATTAGATTTGATGTCAGATCAATCCTTCTTAAATCATCTGTAAGAAAAATGAAGTCGATAAATACTCTTGAATATATTTTGCTCACATAAATATATGAATAAAAATTTTCTCACATACAAACAAATGTAAAGTTAACTAGCAATGGACAGTTAAGGAGATAATTATTTCTAAATACAGTATAAAAATTTGTTAGCTCTCAAATATTCATATTTATGCACTTAGAAGAAAATGCAGCTTTAACAAAGAATTGACACATTATATTTAAAATAAGTAGTCTTTTCGCTATGTAATTAATAAATTTTGTCTTGATTTTACTGCTTAAAACGTTTTCTTGAGTGATGGCAGATTGTTGTATTCTTTAATAGTCATAGATACATTAACATTAAAATACAAATGCATTAAAAAGAAATTTTCAAAAGATGAAAAGACTTTTTGAAGATAAGTACCAGAGTTCTTCTAAATTGACAATGATAAAGTCAAAATTTAGGCTTGTATTCATCCATCATAAAACAGTTGTGCTTTAATGAAATTCTATTCAAACAAACAAATCCTGGAAAATATAGGACCATGACATTTTGCTCTTAATGTCATAACATGATAATGAGTCCTGGCTTATAAAGTCTAATTATTTATGATTTCTATGAAGTTGCAAATAGTTTATTTGAAAATATCAACAACTATATAGTTTCATCATAACCTTTAATTATTCATCATTTTTCTTACAATTAAAACAAGCCTTCAAAATTCAGATAAGAAAAAATAATTGATTTATGAGTTACATTTCGATATTCAGATTTCAGTGTTATCATTTTATAATGCAAACATGTTAGGAAAGTGTGAAGAAGAGAAGAATATTAATGTCATCCATACTCAGGCTGGCAAAGTCATTTTTGTTGATCTTTTTAATTCTGTTAAAGCGGGAATAGAAATAAGCAGTGTTCTTGGGCAGTGGAGGGATAGCATCAAGTTCACGGTCATCGCAGTACACGGTGGTGCGTATGCAAGCGCACAGAAGGCAGGTTGGAAAGTCTAAAAGATACAGGGAAATAATTACATGTAAGTAACAAAAGCAATGTTTAAGAAACAATATGATTAGTCGCTTATTAAACAAGATTAGAGTCTCATCTGGACCATCCTGGTATGTTTCATACTTGTCCATATAATTTTATGTAAGTGGATATTGAAGCTGAATAGATAAATTAAAGCTGCCACAATAATTAATATACTTTTTGTAATGTTTTAAAGATTTATTTTAAATTACTGAGTGGATACAATGTGGTTGTTTTTATACTAATTAGAAATTCTATTTTCACGTGTACATACTAAGATTGTGGTTTTTATAAAGGTAAAACATCACATACAATTTTATTAGGTCTTTGGGTCAATATTTAAACACGCTACTGAAACAAAATCTGCTTCAAGAAAAACATAGGGTAATAACCATTAATATTAATTCACTCAATATGTGTTTATTGAGTTCTTCTATGTAAATGACACTGTGTTAGCTGGAGAAACTGGTGGGCACAAAGACACAGTACTATTTTACGATATGCTCTCTAAGATGAATGTTAGTCACACAAACAGATGAAATGATGACTGTCGTAAATGCCACGAAATACCACGTAAGTATGAGATAAGGGAATTTGACCCCGTCCGAGTGTCATGGTTCTCTGAGCAGGTGGTCACTGCGTTGAGATCTGCAGGACAAGGAGCTGACTATGTGGGAGGGAAGAGTGAGGGCAGCATCACGTGCCAAGTCCCTTCGCTGAAAGATGGTCCACGTGGCTGTAGCACAGAGCACGGGGATGTGTGGGATATGATGTACAGAGGACATACCGGCTATGTTACAGATTTTGGTCCTTATTCTCAGGATGGGCAGGGGTATCACATGATCATATTTGCATATTAATAGGTCACTCTGCTTGAATGTATGGTGGAAGACCGGGGCAGGGCCCGTGGGCACTGTGGAGATGAGTTGTTGTTGAGATGAAAGATCATGGTTCTTTGCTTGGGTCACGGTGATAGAAGAGGCAACAGACCAAAGATATGTGAGGCTGGACTGTATCTCAACGTATTCTCTCTCTCTCTCTCTCTCTCACACACACACACACACACGCACACACACCTACCCCTCCTTCACTCTCTCTTTAGTGATCATGTAGATGACAGTGAGCTTCCAATGGAGCTAGAGAAGCAATGACCAGAGGATAGGAGGAAAACAGGATGGGGCACTACTTTTATGGGGGCCGAGTGGGGTGAATTTGAAGGAAAGGGAACAGAAAGCAATCTAAGGCTGCTGAGATGTCAGGAAATTAAGGGCTGCAAAACGTCTCGGGTTATTGCCTTGTTTGTAGGAGACTTGAGCAAGAGCTGTGGAGTGATGAGGCTGGAAACCAGATTACAGCCAATTAAGGAGGCAGGTGGAGTTGAGGAAATAGTTACATCAAATATGGACAATACTAGAGATGTTTGTGAGGAAGGAGGGAAGAGAGAAGGTGCTAAGTGTAAGAAGACGTATTTGTGGGATGTATGATGAGGGAAACCGGGAGAGAATTGAAGAACAGGACCCAAAGGATGAGAGGTTGAATATAAAAAGGATCCCGAGAGAGCAGGAGGAAAGGAGATTTGAAGCTGAGTGGGAAGGATTCTCATCCCACATGGGGGAGACAGGCAGTTCCTCTGCTGTGATAGGAAGAGAGGGGGATAAGGTACATGGGTGCAGATGTAACTAAACATTATGTCAGAGGTAGAAAGACCACAGAGCTACTGCCCTAAAGACAAAGACTGCACTTTGTCAAATGGGAGGCTAAGCTATCTGATGAGCTGAAAGAGTGTAGGCAGGAGGAGAGAAGAGGCTGCAAGATGTGAGATGACTAGAACAGGAAATCGCCAGGAGAGCAGCTGGAAGAAGAAAGTGATAGAAGGGCTTTCTTTCTAGGCATTGCTCAGGGATCAGTTCATCCCAATTTAGCTGGGACTGTTCCAGCTTTAGCATGTAGCCTCCCCCGCAGGCAAGCTGGGCCACTTGGTTGTCTCAGTTGAGAGATCCAGTTGTGGTTTGTGATTTGTGATCAAGAGCTCATGATGCACCTATGAAATTCTTACTGTTATCATTAAGTAGAAAAATCAGGTACAGTAACAACGTCAGGAATGGAAACTATTTTAGGAATGGAAATCTAGGGGGAAAATTAAGGGGGAGCTATAAAATATTTAATGTTTGCTAATTTCTCCATTCATTATTTGCCACTTCTAAAGTTTTAGAAATCAGGGCATTTGAATCTTCTCTGTATTCATGGCCTTGCTAATTTAACAATCATTGGTTAGGGTAATTTATATATTCACACCAGTTATAATTTAATTTTAGCTTTCCCATTCATAGCTCAAGCTGACTTTATATGGATTTACACTATTACTTTTAGAAATTTGTACTAATAGTGAAAAAATGATATTTTAATTTTTAACATTCTAAATATTTCCGAACTATTTAACTCCAATGAATTTATAAGATTTCAATTTAATTTTAAAATTTAGAATCTATGGTGGTGTTTTTTTCTTTGGGAATTAAAATGTTAATTAAGTTTTAACTTTATTACTCATCCTTAGACTAGAGATAAAATTTGCTTTAAAGTCACAGATTTTTTAATATTGTTTCAGAACGGACATTTCTATTGTTCCTGACTCTGCTAAAAGACTTGATTGTAGGTAATGATGGCAAATCCATCAATATTTGAAGGATCTAAAGTCACTTAAAAGTAAGTAATGTTCCAGGGTTATTCAATTTTCCCATTTTGAGTGCTTCACTATGTACTTATCTTTCCTTCTATTGTAAGTATATCTTCTTAGTTCTGCTTATATAAGTATTCGACTGCTCCACAGAAAGTTAACTATGTGGAAAGAATATGATGTAGTGATTAAAAACATTGGCTTAGGATTGATCGGTCTCTGCATTCCAGCACTGCTACATCCTGCCTCCAGGATCTTAGGCAACTTTTGCAGTATGTTGGAGCCTTAGTTTTCCTGTTTATAAAGTGGTGATAATACCTCGTACTTAGTGCTATTGCAGCTCTTCAGAAGAGTTAAGGTCCATAAAACACTTTAGTGGCTGGAGTATAATCAGCAATTCACAAAATACAAATTTTTACATTACTTGCTGGTGAACAGTTAAAAACTCATAGAGGCAGAGAGTAGACTGGTAGTTACCAGGGGCTGGGGTAGGGAGAAATGCGGAATTGTTGTTCCACACGTATAAAGTTTGTTATGCAAAATGATCAAGATCTAGAAATCTGCTATATGACATAGAGTCTATAGTTAACCATGCTGTATTGTACACTGAAGAATTTTGAGAGTAAAAAAGTATAACTTTTCTATTGAAAATAGAATAATGAGAATAACATTTATTTTTATGATGAGATTAACTAACATTATGTTTGCTATGGGCTAGGCACTAAATTCATTCATTTAATGCTTAGAACAGCTCTATGAAGGAAGATGTATTACTTATTAGCCCTCTTTTTAGATGAGAAAACTAAGCCAAAAAAAAAATTTGTAGTCTTGTTCAAGACTGTATATCCAGCAAGTTGCAAAGTTGGGATTTGAATGTTCTTCCCTCTCTTGTTTCCGCAGTGTGTTCTGTGCAGAGTTTTCTCCTATTCCCTGCAATGCATTATTGCCTCTAAATGTGTTACATCTGTATCCATAACAGTAGTCATTTTAAGATAAATTTTGTATCTCCAGGACATAGAGTACAGAGACAGTTGAGACTAAATAAACCTTTGCACTGGGAACCCTACTCATTTGTGCTATAACCCTTCTCTGTGCCATTCCTTGGGTGTGAAATTATTCTGGGGTGAGTCCCCTTGGGTACCCCCATACTTCACACTGACAAATTCTAACAAGAAATACAGACAAATCGTAGAATCACAATTAGCACCAGGAATACCTTCTCATGAACTAAAAGACTTTGGTTTAGATCACCTTCAGGCTGTACAAAGTGGAGTACAACGTCACACAACACTTTCCTTTCTTTTCCTTTCTCTAGCGCTTTCTAGGAGTGACTGAAAAGAAGCCTGTTTTCCAGTATGATCACAAGCAAGAATCAGAATAGGCTTGCTTCAAACCCAGTGTATGAGACTAATACTCACTAAGTCTGCAAATTCCCAACCTTTTTGAGCTAATATCCTCAGTCATAATGAAAAGATTAACACTAACACCTTCACAGCAAGACTGTAATAGTCAAATGAGATAATGTGACATGCTGAGCATGATGGTCCACAGGTAGTATGTGCCCAACCAATGTAATATTATTATTAGTACCATTGTCATCCTCATCTGTCATCACCTTATCACCCTGAACTGCTGTGGCCTGATCTCTCAGATGTCAATTCTGATCTTGCTAATAGTGTGTCCTCTGTTCTAGAAATGCATTTCACCACAAAGGTTTTGAGTAGTGATGCCAGACAAATATTTTCAACCCCAACCTTTGGTTATTCAATAATTTCCATCATTATAGAGCTGAATTACTAAAACTGCTTTGTATTTGAATACAAAATATGTGTGTATCTCGTGCTTCAAACCTAACCTACTGCATAACTTTCCCCTTGGCTTGCATGTGTTCCTCTGGAGTAGGTGCTCCGCAGTTTGAGGGATGACCAAGTGGATTTAATTACAAGTCAACTTTGACGGAGCCGACCTTCACTGGTGTGTGGGCCCAGGACCCCGGGGAATTCGGGCTCCTGTGGGGAAGAGCCATCGATCAGCCTAGGGGTGGACTCCTCCTCCTCCTCTTCAGCCTCCTCTGGTTGTGGGGGCGGGGTGAGGAGCTCTCTGTTCCCTGAAGGCATCACTGTCGCTATTTCAACCTGAAAAAGAAGCCGAATTTCATCAATCAGGTACCCTTCCTTCTCAATCAGCCTGTGCGGCAATGACACTGATTTAAAATGCATCCGTTCTTTGCCACAAGAGGTCGCTCGTGTTCTGAAATTCAACCCAGTGTGCTGGGACCGGCCTGCCTGGAAAGGTATGTGTGGGTCTACGACTATTACTGCTTTTAGTTAATCTTGTTCCCTCAAATCTTACTAATAGTTTGCAATACCCTCCACCTTCCAGCTCCCCCACCTTTTTTTGGTCTTGCTCTTCTCAACATCCCTATGAATTCATTTCATAGGTTTCAAAAAACTTCTTTTATTGTTTTCTAAATAGCATTGCAAGAATGCATTATTATTCTCATGATAGAGTCAAATTAGTCTAGAAGTGTGCAGAGTAAAATTCTAAAGTCCCCTTCACCCTGCAACTCTAATCCTACTTCCAATGAAGGTAATAACCAATAAGAAATTGATATGTATGCTCCAGTCTTTTTAATTCTTCATTTTCTAGGTGCAAATATTTGTTCCTGGACAACTTATAGGTCCTTCAATTGTATTTGACTGAAACGTATCCTTTCTACTATAATAAAATATATATGATACAGAAATGAAAACTGTATGATTTGGTTATGATAGGTCATTTCTCATACATTTTCACTATTTTTTTGAGTAACAAGTATTATCAACTGTATTTGGGTATGTTAAAATTGACCTTTCTAAGAGCTTTGACAATAGGAGGGATTTAAAAAATTGAAAAAGTACTCTTTTTTTCAGCATTTATATTTTAGATTACACTTGCTTTTCTCTTCTTACTTGCATACTTTAAGTAATGAGTTATTTCTTTACCCATCTCCTTTATTTGCTTTCATTAAACAAGAAAAAAAAAACCACGCAAATTCCTTTCTAATGTATTTAATATCAAAATGATATGCAAGCTTTCATGTATAAAATAGTTACATAGCTTGGCCAGATGCTTTCTGGATATTTTAAATAGATGTTTTAGATAACCATAGCATTTGAAAGAAATACCTGCTATTTAATGTCACTTTTGCTACATTTGAATACATTGCTTCACAAATGGAAATTATCCTTTTAAAGAAACACTGAACTTTCTTTTGTCAGTTCACATTTCTGAATTGTGTCTCCTGTGTTTCTTCAAATTCTGTTTCAGCCCTTCCTACACTGTACTATACTGGCTGCCTCAGTTTTCTGCCTTTCCAAGCCTATTAGATGGTACACTCTGAGTTATGTTTTTTATCTTTGTACCTCAAAGCTGTAGCATAATAGGCAATCAATAAAAACTTACTGAATATAATAAAAAATGCTTGTCCAAACTATATCTAATTTACAGCTCTTTGCTTACTTTTAGAAATTGCTGATAAGAATTAATGGATCAACCAAATCATATTGTATTTGATGCAGCAGGAAGCCATACATGAAGATATTGTAAAACTTGGCCAGAAATCTCCACTTGAGAAGATTGGGCACACTTCCTTAAACAGAGAGACATACGGTTCCCATCTGCAGGACCAGAATGAGGCAGATTCAGAAGGAATGGATTTGCAGAAACCAAAAGGAGGCTCCAGGAAGAGCGGAAATTGAGACAGATGTTTCATGGAATGGAGGCAGCCTAAAGGGAGAAGCACATTCCAGACACATTGCCTTGAATCTTTAGTTTTGTAGGAAAAATATTTGCACATACTTTTTACAGATGATTTGTTTTTCCACTTATTTGACATGAAGCTGTAAGATCTCACTTGTCATCCAATATAATGAGGCAAAACAGCTTTTGTGTTTACCAAAAACTGTTTTGTCCATGCTTAGCTGCTAATAGAATGTGAATGTTGAACAACTTTTAAGACCAAGGGAAAGAAATACCTTTTCAGTTTAGCAAAATTGCAGAACAGTAACCTCAAAGTACTGTGCTAGTGAGCATTTTGCATTGCACATTCATTCTCACTACTGAATAGGAGTGATTTGGCTTCTTCTGTCTGTTATTTCCTCTTTTAACTATTTTCAACCTGTGGTAAGAAGTGGTGAAGCAATGAATGCAAAGAAATGAGGCCAGGGAAACATGACCACCTGGCTTTCCATGTGGCTGACTTTTATGCTTATGATGCAGAAACCTAAATTTGGGAGTAAACAAACAGCCAGAAAATATCCCTGCCCCTTTTTCTCACACTTCTATTGGTAGCTTGACTCAAATGCCTGTGTACCTGAGCCTCTGATATATTCACTCTTGAGAGTTTTCCTCCATTCTTTTTCCTTTTACAACTACTTGTTTTACTCTGACTTGCCTCCTCCTGAGTTGACTTTTTAATGTGTTCATTGTATCTCCCTGAAGTTTGTAAACACAATACAGGTAGTCACTCCCCCATAAGACTGTGCACTTAGTCACTGCCACTTTAGCCTATCTTTTTGACATAGTGTCATCAGGGTACATCTGTGAGTTGACTGGCTTGCAGTAAATGGTCTATTTCTACAGTCTCATTTACCTGGCTTTAGAACCACAGATAACTTATGTCATGGTAGACTGTGCTTATGAGTCCACCAAAGAGCCTATCTACACAAGAGATGGCAAATGCATAGCTCACAGAGTGTGACTTGCATAGAGTGAAGTGTCAGCAGCTGTCAGGCTAGAAAGATATTGAGCCAAGAAGAGCCCTCAGGCCCATCTCAGCCTCTGCACGCTGCAGGGCCTTAGCTCCACATAATCAATCCAGCCCCTCAATATCATCTCATGGAAAAAGGGCTAAAATGAATCCAAGGTGTCTTCGACAACGATTCTGTCCCCTGAAGAAATAAGGACTCTCAGTAGAAAGTTATTCAGTTACATTGCTTATACCTGATTATGTGTACTGAGACTTTAACCAGAAATATTTGTATCATTAGTAATGATATTATAGAAGATTTAAGACTTTTATCTCCAATAATCAGCAGAGTTTTCCATAGGAAAATCTTTCTATAAAAATATTCAGCATCATTTTAAGTGACAATATTATTTGGTTAAAAGTAATTTTAATCAAATCTATTTGTGTTTTAGCAAAAACTCATCAAAATGGTCTATATGCCCGTATTGCTACCATTAAGTCTGCTGAAGTTATGTTCTACTTATTTGTCTTAATTTAGAGTGAAAATATGAAAAAAATAGTGTGTTCAGAAACAGCAATTGCACTTCCTACTGATTGTCTTGTTTGCCTGAATCTCTTAAGAACAGACTACTTGTTGAACATACTGTTTCAGATGGTAACAAACCATTTGGTACCATTAAACATTGTGTTTGAACTAATAAAACTTAAGGTGCTTTTAAAAATATATTTTCCTATTTGTTTTTTATTTCAGCGCTTAATCTTCTGCTAAGTTTCCAAGGAGGAATTCAGTGAAAACACGTGCATGATGAAAAGAATGCTATGAAAGAATTCATGTTACTCAGGTTTGATTCTTACCTTCATGAATGAATGACAAAATCACTGAATTTGTAAATGATAAAAGATTTTCTTGCCTTTGTAATTATTAATCAACCAGACTAAATATCTGTGCCAAGCGTTACACATAAGCTTTAATCAGCTGTCCATTTACCTATCAATATTATTTTCAAAACATCGATCAAAACCGTTTTTTTCTCTCTGTCTACTACCATCACCACCATCCAAGTTACTGTCCTCTCTTGTCTGGGATACATCAATGTCTACATACAGGAAGTCGGGATCTCCTCCTGTAGGAAGTCCCTCTGCATTGAGGATAAACTCTTAAAGACAAAACCGATCATGTCAACCCTCCTTAAAATCCTTCAATAGCTTCTTATTGTTCTTAATCACCGCAGAACAATGGCCTTGCTGAAGCACTGTAACTTAATGGTTAAGAGGAAGGATTCAGACTAGATGAGTTTGAATGTAGCCTACGAGTGAGACCTTGGGTAATTTATTTACCTCCTTGAACCTCACTTTCTTTATTTGTAAAATCCTGGTATAAATAGTATAGCTGTCTTAGGATGAAAATACCAATACACACAAAACACTTCAAATAATGCCAGACACATAGTAAGTACCAGGGGAATGTTTGTTATCTTATTAAAATAAATCCAAAACTCTTTAGCTTACAGGGCCCTTTAGTTTCTTACGCTGCTTCTTCATGCATGTAAGAGTTGTTCTGCTTGGAATCCCCTCCATTCCCCATCTTTTCCCCCCAATTTTATTTTCTTTTATAACAGCTTTTTTGAAGGTATAATTGATATACAAAGAAATGTGCATATTTAATATGTACAGTTTGGTGAGTTTGAACCTATGCAAGCACATGTGATAGCATCACCACAATCAAGGCAATAGACCTATCCAACGCTGCCCAAAGTTCCCTTGTAATTACCTGCTTATTTAGCCCTCATATCCAGTTCAAGTCTTACTTCTTCATGGAAGCTATTCAGGATCTACCTGGCTTAGAAAAACATATCCAGGGGCTCTGGGTATTGCGTTCTACTTGATGGCACATCGCCCATTACATTTGTGGTCGATTATATTTTTATTAATTGTTGCAATTATTCCCTTCCTACAGATCCTTGCCCCTTTGCAGTATGGCTTTTCAATGCCTACAATCAAGAATGAAAGGTTGATTTCCTTTCCCTTGAATTTTGAATTTTGACTGGGCTTCTAATTTGTTTTAGTCAACAGAATGTATAGATATTGTGTCAAATTTGTTCAAGTCAACAGAATGTATAGATATTGTGTCAATTTTGAGGGTTCTCCAGAAATACGGCATGGTTCTATTTGTTTTCGAGAAACCCTGCTCAGTCATCATAGGAATAAACTGGGGCTAGCCTGTTGGAAGATGAGAGGAACAGAGGAACATGGAATAGAGGAAATCAAAGTAAACTGAGGCCAATCTAATCCAGCCAGTCTTGAACCAACCCAACAACTAGTTGCAGAGACATGAGTGAGCCCAGTGCAAACTATGGGCATAGCATAGCCCAAACTGCTGAGTTACAGAACTGTGAGCTAAATAAA